ATTAGGCCTTCTCATATTACAATTGGAGAAGACAGATTCCATTAGCAGTATCTGAAATTGAGTGGAGAGCTGCACTGTTATCAGACTTGACTCATAAGCACTGCTATTAATCAGAGCTATGATAGCATTTATATATTTCAAGCTATCTGCTGCCTCTGTGATATTCTGCTACAAAGGGTTGATGGGACTTAGGAAAGTGAACAATAGAGCTTTCTGGGAAAAGCAGAGTAAATCAAGAAAGTCTATGACTTCCGCACATTCTGAAGGGATTGTGGTTTACATAAATTTTCTCCCAATTGGAGATTGAGCTCTTCCTCATCTTACACATGGGATTTAGTTGTCACTCAATGGTAACAGCTGTGAAAAGGTGAAGCGGCCCACCGCTCAGAATATTGCCTTCGCTTTTAAAGCAATTAACCCATGAACAGGAGGATACCTGGTGATATCAAAGGGATTAGGCCAGGCAGTGCATTATTAACATTTCCTTGAACTAATTCTAACTCTGACTAGCTGTCAGAAAAGACTCTACAGTCTTAAAAAAGAGTTTTTGCCCTGCTTTTTTCCCCTTCAAAATGAAGTGCTGCTATTTGAGCCTAATATGTCCCTCTACTTAGAAGAAAATGCAAATGAACCAAGCTCTTAATATGCTTAACCAGTCTGAGTCTACGCAATTTTTATACAAGTATGAGAGAAATATATGATCAATTAACCAGGGATCAAGACAGATATTCTCCTGAATGGAAATTAATGCTCCAGTACTTTCCATTCTTCTTCAACTACAAAAACTTGGTGACTATTTGTTACTTCTGCATAGTTACCTCTGAAATTAGGAAGAGCTTGACATTCTTCTCTATGGCAATAATCTAAAATACTCTGTGAGCTGGAAAATCCAAATGTCCCTTAAGCAGGAGATTCTACATTCTCTAAGGTATGGCATTTTAATTTCCTATTCTTTATTGAATGGAATCTTAGCCGGAGCTATAAGAATCGCAGACACAGTGCTCTGAATCAAGTATTCCTCCTCCAAAAGTTTAATCAAATTAATTTTTAGCAGCAGCATAACGTTTAGAATTGTATCACTTACAAAAAATAAAATACTGGCACAAAAGGATCTGCCAGAAGATATTTAAATATCACTGAAATTGGTTGTCGGTTCTTTGTAGTGAGCAGGCACGGTTTCACTATACCTTCAATTATCATTAATATTCATATATTCTAGGTAACCTGGTTGACATGAAGAGATCTGATTTCTTACTGTACAATGTTAATGGTGTTAGAAAGTTTTTTAATGCAAGTTTCCTAAGACAGTACCTTCTAGAAAAAAATATTTGCAAAACTGTTTATTCAATGGTTAGTGACCTTGTCTTAATTTCTTTAAGTAAACACTGAATTTTGATTATAAAAACTAAAATAGTTTTACTTTCGATTCACAAGAGTCCTCAACAAACACTGTTGAATGAATTCTTCCATACTTCCATTTGGCCCACAATAGTTTGGAAAGGATATGCTGACTCTCAAGCCTATTGAGAGTAGATTTCCTGCCCTGGACCCTACTAAAATACAAGATATGCCCTCATCTGAGATCATAAGCAATTGAAATCTTCCCTGAGGGAAAGAATTTTTATACAATGCTATCAACATACTCCATTCTCTTTTAGTGATACCAGAGCATAAGAAATGTAAGCATGTTGATGTTGCGAGACAGTGATTTCAGGGCTCCTTCCTTATTAAGTATATAGGACCTAGTTTGAGGTTGCTTAGAAAATAAGTTTGAAATTCAAGTACTAAGCAATGCTAAATCCCATTCATATTAGTGACTTACCTGAGCTGTAACTTTTTAAATTCTGTAATAGGATTTGCGAATTTCAAAGGTGACACTTTAGATATCATACCATCAAAACTTAAACATCATTTACTTCAATGGCCTTGAAAGAGAAAATCCCAGTTCCTACAAATCCGTGTTATGTAGTCTTAAAAACACAGATGTACACATTAATAAAATGAATACTGTTTCATAGATATGAAATGTATTAAACTCCCTTCACATAGTGAATGCTGAAAAATACCCCTGAAGGGGACAATACATAAATACATACAGAAACAACTGCCACAATCTTACTATTTTTAATTCAATAAAGTATGGTGACGCATACAGCTTTCAAAGTGCTCTTTTACTCCCATGCTTTCTACATTAGGGTGAAGCAAATATACATGAGTTCTTGTCAACCATTAGGAAAGACTGACAAAAAAATGCAGTGTTAATGACATCTTACGGCTCTTAAAAGCAAGAGAAAGATGCAAGGAAAGCAAAAATTACATAGTAATTGGAAACAACGAATAAATTGTTCTTCCAATCTAAGTCATGTTTACTGAAAAAAATGGAGCTTTTTACATCAACACATTTAAACAGAAATTTGCTTTTAAAATACAATCTTTGTTTAAAAGGTACAGAAGGTCTTTATGTCCACCCCAAGAGCTAAATATAGTGAATGCCATGTGAACAATTACCTGAAAAAAACCTAAACCTGTTAAAAGAATTAATTTACTGCACACCAGTCAGCGCTAATCCTACGTGTACAGTAATGTTCTCTGAAGTGATGGGGGGAGAGAAAGAATAAAACTGTTTCCTGGATCAAAACCCTCCAATATTCCACAACAAAATAGAATGATGATTTGGCCTGTCGATGAATAAAGTAGTCAAATGTCTCCTCAACAAATTCTGATAAAGGAGGCAACCTGTAAAGGAACACATTTACCGGACGCTGGGCTGGAAAAAAAGCTGTCACTGTATTGGCTGCACAGGAACTGTGTCCTGCTGTTGGGTTTATATTCACAGAAGAAAGGTTTTAAAGGTTAAGTTCAGGTCATACAACAAATGAAATTGTAACAAGCCAGCTGACATTGTATAATGTCTTCTTCCACTCAATCAATAGGCTACTGTTAGTCCTATTACCATAGAGATGGCTTGCTCTCTCCTGAAGGGTGTCTATTGTTTGACAAAACAGATTTGCCACTTGAACTAGGTTGTTCCCAGAGGACGTGTACCTTGTCAATTATTTGTATTCAAAATAATGAAGTATTTTCATATTAAAATGTATGTAGGAGATAATATTGTGGGATCCCTTTTCTGAAAGAAAGCAACTTTCCCAAGTACAATATTACCAAAACATTCTGAAAACCACTCAAATATCCAGTTTAGTCATATTAAGGGTTTTTGATTTAAAGCCTATTCAGCAAATATACAAATTTACCATTAAGACTGTATTAAAAAAAAAAAAGGATCACAGGTTAAGTGTGCTAATCTAAAACCCATTATAATCAAGCATGATAATAAAAGCTATTTTAAAATGTAGACAACTCAAAGGAAAATTATTGTTCAAAGCTATTTGGATTCTGTCAATATTTTTATGTGTGATTTTTACAGTGGTTTTCATGTGGAATGGTATCACCAATTAATATATTGAAAAGCATGGAAAAGTTTTAGAGAACAAATCACTTTATTTGCATAAGAGCTTTTTATAGCCACATAGCATTTAAATATATGTTATAGAAATGATCTTCTAAAATATAAATAAAAAATAAAAAATAAAATAAAATAAATTACAGATGAACTACTAAAATAAATACAGGTATTAATTTTCTTTAAATGCCTTTGTCTTAAATGTCTTGTGAAGATTATTAATTCATACATTCAATACAAGACAAGTAGTTCTACCTTTCAACCTAGATATTTAAAAATGTTAAAGATCAGTTTTTCTCTCAATAAAAATAACGATAAATTCTTAATTATAAAAGACTCAGGAGAAACAATTCTAAAGAAGATTACTCTAATCATTTAGAAAAAGAAAGTATTCATAATACTAATCAATCCAAGCAGAGATGTTATTTTCAACATTTCATTCTGAAAGATTGGCTATCACTGAAAACCTGTAACTGAAATAAAAATGAATTAAATAATGTAGATACAAATGTAGTAAATGATCAACATTTACAACATCTGAATCTGAAAGCTTTCCACAAATAAATTTAAAAGTAAGCTTTAGGGTTATAATTATGTTAACTTTTACCTTTCCATAAATAATTAAAGAGGAAATTTAGAAAGAATTTAGTCAAAGGGCAATTTTATGACTAACGCAAATAAAAACATTAGTCTCCAAAAATGGCGTTTGAAATTGTCTATTCAAATTATACTATATTTACATACAAAAATTTGTTTTTATAATAAAAACTGCAGTAGTTTTTGAAAGTGTTTTAATTTGGTTCTCCCTTTGCAGGAAGTGTAACTTGTATTTTTTAACTATAATCTCCTTAGGCATAGGTTAGACTGGTTAAGAATGAAGGAGTCAGAAGCAGCAAAGACAAATTAAGTTTACCAACATCCTAAACTAATGACCCATTTTTTAAAAGCAAGGTAGCCTTCCAAACGAAGAAAACCTTCCATCAGTGAAGTATGTGGGGTCTAATTTGCCTACCTTATTAGGAACAACGTGAAACCTTACCAAAACCATATCCCAAACTGATTTCCTTAGTTAACAGCCTCATTTCAAAGAGTATACAACATGTGCATATTTAGGATACAGTATAATTAGGTGTTAGCTCTGGACCTGACAGGCAGCTGCCCATCAGCAACACTGTAATTAAATGATATTTATCATTTACCAAAAGATGACCTTCATATTGTTGAATTAAACTGGCCCATCTGCATCTTCATAAAATGGCAAACCTTATTAGTTCTGCCTAACCCGAGAACTGTGATAATGAGCTGGTGACACCTTGACTCCATTGTAGGAAGCACAACCAACTGTGTAATCACCTGAGGGGTCAAGTGCGTATGAAATTACTGGAAATTAAGAAAGTGCAATCACAGGAGTGATTAGGAAAACCATTCAAGCAACGTAAGAGTTTTGGTTTTGGGGTTTTATTTAATGCCTGCACTTAGGCCATCAGAACGCTCCATCTCCAATTAGCCAAAATTAATTTTAACTCATCAACTACTTTACCTGAAAACGGTGAAAAAAAGTAACGACGCAGCTACTGCTCCAAACAAGCCACACAGAAGATTGACGCGGTAGGCAACTGAACCAAAAGGAAAGAGCATAATTGCCAGTTTAGCCACCAGCGTGAACAAAGGATAGCCAGGAGGATGGGCAACCTATGGAAAAATCAGCGAGTTAGAAGGTTTTCACCTCCTACTAAAGAGTCACACTGGCTTTAATTGCAAAGTAGCCCTTTGCTCGGGCAAGTATAAAGATTAAGAGGCAATGTCTACATGTTTGAACAGTGGTTTTCTATTGTAATCCTTTTGTGCCAATACAAATAAATATTTTCTTTAGCGGATTTGGCAGCGTCTATCACATGGTGTGTCACCTAGAGAAAGGGTGACATATTTCATTGTCAGTTCTTAAGCAGTTTGTTCTCTGGGTTCACAGTACATTAGGGTCATTTAAAAGGCTACTGAAAAAAAGCAGGTTCTGAAATTTCGTATTGGTTAGGAAGTTGAAAGACCACACTGCTATCGGATTACCACCATGCTGACAGTCCTAAGGTCTTGCCTAAAGGGATCATGCACCATAATAAAGTTTATTAAATAATAAACTTATTAAAACTGTTAACCCGATTTATTTTATTCTCCATAGCTTATACAAAATTTGGGGTGATAATAAGCCAGCTACTGTATATATAGTAAAGGCTTTGCTTTATAATTTAGCTTAATTGGATTTAAAACTTAAAGTAAATTGTCACGTACTGTACTTATAAGTTACTAAAAACTGGGGTTTGAAAATAAATTAATCTACTTTACTCCATGCTTAATTAAACTTTCTTAATTCCTAAAACTGTTAATGAGAGCATTGATTAAACAATAAAACTAATACTTACTCCAAGCTCATGTGCAGCTGTGATCAGTTCCCCTGTGAAAAAATAATGTAAAACCAATAATTACTATTAGAAAATGACACTCCTCCAAAGTTTTCAAAATCCAAATGCTTGCACTGGGGTTTTGCATTAATTTGACTGGATAAAACTGTAAATCTGTAGAGATTTAACAGCATGAAATAGTCTAAGGATATTTTCTCCCTTAGGTCTTACTGAACAAATGATCTTTGATAGTTTTTAATAACTGGTCAGTGGAAACATAGGTGAATTCTGGTTTTTAAAAAGTGCTTATTTTCCGGGGCGCCTGGGTGGCTCAGTTGGTTAAG